CACTCAGCTCTTTCCCTCTTCCAGTCTCATTGCACTGCATCTCACTCCTTGGGTAATAACAGAGGTAATTCTTTCCCAAATTTGTTTATGTTCTGGATTTCATCCTGCAGCTTTTAATTAGTCACTAGGGTAAGCTTGCCCTGAGAAAGCATTTCAGGTTAAGATTATATTTGTTCTCACTGAAGGAATATTAACTCTACTAACTCAGTCTTGTTTTAAAGCCCAGTGTTAATAAATCCATATATTTCTTTAGTCTAATAATAAGAATTTTCATCCATTAACAAAGGAACACACAAAATTAGACATGGAAAGATATATACATACCAATGTCTAGGAAAATAATATTTGATATCAATGGATAGTAATAAAATATTGTGTGATGAATGACTAACAATCTATAAAATTCCTCATCTTGCATGTAATAGCTAATGACATTTGCTATTAGATAAAATATACAGAGGACGGATAAATTTAATTGTAGACCTTTCTGTCCACTTAATTCTGCAAAAAGTGTTTTACTCTTCCTCCTGATTTTAGATTTATTATTTAGACTAAATAGCACACAAATTGAATGTATTTTCTGTTATATATCCTCTCCAAAAAATAAACTCATGCGTAAAAGAGTGGGTAGCTGAATAAAGAGTATTGGTGTCAGTGATGAGCTGAAGGCAAGCTTATCCCTGTACACTATGACAAGCATTTTGAACAGGCTCTAATGGGGAACGAGAAACTTAAGAATTAATACATGGAGTACATGATGTTTTAACTGTATATTTTATACCTTAACACTAGTTAAATATAACTCAGTGTGGCTTTTTTTTGGTGAGGAAAATATATAAGCCTTCCACTCATAAGAGAACTGACCTACAAGTCGTGTCTCTGAAGTTAGTGTGTCTCCAAACCATACTAAATATAAATAGCCTTAATTGTAGTCCATACAATCTGATTAAACATATTATGCTTCATTATATGAGTCTTAGTTGACAAAAATAAACTTAAGTTGTTATGGAGACAGACCATTAAATTAGTTATTGAAGCAAGATTTTGAAGTGGGTGATTTTTGAGTTAAATTCACATTTTCAATTCTTTCTCAAGTACAGATTTATTTAAAAAGAGCTTTGAAACCATTTCACACCTGGAATAAAAGGTAGATGGAATCATCTAAACCTAATTAATATTTTCACTATAAAATTTAATCTGAATGATTTTATGCTATTTTTTTAAAAAAAACTTCCGTGAAAAGAATTGATGAACAACTCTAATGAGTTAGCTGTGCTTACATGCAGTGCATACTTCAAAACAATTCTAGTGAACAACTAATCAAAATACAGCGTTGGTTTGGTGGGGGCTTTTTGTGTATTGTTGGTTGGGGTCTTTTTTGTATTGTATAGCATGACCTGTTTCTTTTCACTTGTGTGGTTTGGTCAAAGGGAAACAAATTTTGATCACGTACTTTGAATAAAGAATTGAAGAATAAGTGCACACATGCATTTATCTGATTTCAGAATTGCTTCACTGGAATTCTGCCAGTATAAACTAATGGAAATAAGGGTAGAATATAGTCCCCTTAAATGGGTAGCTAAGATTGTTTATTTATAACGAAATAGTTAGAAACGTTGCTGCTTCTGTCTGAAGTACAATGAAATTAAATGACATAAAATTCTATAGTTCCTTAAAATAGTTTGAGTATCTGGGTAAAGAAATTAAAATGCCCTATTACATAGTTTCTGTCTGTATTAGTCATAGCCTTTCTTCTGACCCGTAAAATTCTGTATTTCAAATGTCAAATAGTGGCAGAATCCTGTCATATTAAAATATTCTTGCAAAGCAAAAAAATATCTTTGTTTTTAGAAGCTTTTTCCTTCATTTTAGGTAAAAATATTATTTATGATAGAAATTGAAATACTTACCTAACAGAATATTTCTGCAATTCTGTCCATGTGGATTTTTATTCTTTTGCTGTTGTTCACTGGACTAATGGTTTCTATTGACACTTTCCTTAGAGTGACATAATATTTAAGAGAATCTAGAGTAACTGGAGAATTTCAGTGTTTGTTTTCCTATGCCTTTGGAAGGGAAAGAATTGTGAACACTATAATCCACTGAGATTTTTTTCCAATAATAATTATAAATGATAATGCGATTATTTTAAAGATACATGTTGCAAGCAGTAAAGATAAATTTTAGCGAGCTGCTTTTATTTTGTATGTCAAACCTATAATCATAGGAAATTACTCAGAACAGAAACAAAATATTTATAGTAAAATTACCATTTTATCCATATTGCTTTCTAAACAATTGGCTTGGTCTTCAGAATAATTTGTATGGTTTTATATTGTCTTGTCTGCTCTTCCAGTTACTATATACTGTAATTTTCCACAAGAATACTTGAATATCAGTTTTGAGGAGGTCATCTAGGGAAATGATATTGAGGACAGTCTGTTTATTATAACTTCAGTCTGAATATGGGTTTATCTACAGTGGAAATGCTAGATTGAAGAGGACACAGACTGTTAATCGGCTGTGCTTAATCCCTGGCCTTTATCATTTGAATCTGTGGATGCTGAAGGAGATTGCTAACTCTTATCATAAATGGAGGGAACAAAAAAAAAAAAAAAAAAAAAAAACACCAGAAAATAAACAGAAAAGAACCTTAATTTGGATATCTTTCATGATAAACTTCAAAACTGCATTAATAGCAAGGAAAGATTAAAAAAAAAAAAAAAGAATCAATCTGGTTTTGTTTGCTTATTTAAAACCTGCTCTGTTCAGATCAAAACAGAAAAAAAAATACTTTCTATTTTCTTTTCATGATCAATAATAAGTGTATGTACTTTATTTATTTTAGTATATAGATAGAGGGTACATTTTATGCAAGCAGGTAGATATTCAGCCACTGTATATCTGTTAGGGGTTAACTAATGACATGTTCAGTATCTTCAGAGGTTTGCTCACAAAAAAAGCTCTATGAGCTCTTGTCTCATTTACATCATAATAAATACAGCTGAAAGGACAAAAGGTGATAGGCCATGATGCTTGCTAAGGCTGAATGGGTAGGTTGTAATTTTTTCTTTCAGTTAGGAAAACTGAGAATATTGTCCAGGACTAGTGGTATATTTAAGTGTGGACTACCAAGAAGAAAATGTCTTAGGCAAGAGCAGAGATAAGAGTTTTATTTCTATGGGCGGTGATGTGAAGGAAAGGTACCTGCATCATTAGACTCTGTGTCTGTTTGACTAAGAAATAAAGAAACTAAAAACTTAAAGCTGATAAAGAAGATGTGCCTTATGTGATTTCTGTAGCTTACATACTGTGCCACTTTCTCACATTAGTCAGCTTAGTATATAACTGTTAACAGCCATCTCCTTGTCATTGCTGCTGAGTTTCAGTGTCTGTTTATCTTGGAAGAAAGTCTTTTTATCCAAATAATACTGATAAAACTTAACTGATAATTGATTTTTTTCCCCCTTTTTTATAGTGATAGTAGAAAGATGAGTCATATATTTTTAATTATTTGATGACATGCAATAAAAAAGCGCAAGCTATTCAATGGCTTCTTTAATATGAGAAGTAAGGGTCCATACATAAAAACAATAAACAGAGTACAGGACAGTTACAATGCTGTGCCACATTATTTTTGTTGAGTTTTTACTTGTTGATAATAGTAACTTTTATTTTCTAAATAAAGCTGAATTTCTACACAGTAGATTCTCTTAAACTGTATGTGATTTCAAGTAAATGCATATCTGATATTTGTCTGATAATCGCAAAATGGTAATTTTTCTATTATTTCTTAATTACTTTTGTAAATTTAGGTAGCTCCTGAAGAAACCAAATCCAGGATTTATCTATATTAACTTCAACAAATTAATATTCCAATATCTCTTGTTTACATGTTTATAGTTTTGATTCTTATTCAAAATCTTTATTTTGTGTTTCTTAAACTCAGTTGTAATTTGCGTAATTGGTATGGGAACATAGAGTTTTGCTTCTGGTGTTTGAAGTGTTTTTAAAAGCAAATTAAATTTAGTTATTTTTAAAAAGTATTTAAAATCTGTTTTAAAACATTTAGGAGTTTTTTTTTTTTTAAAATCAGATGGTAATGCTTTACACTTTCATATTGCAATAATGTTTTTTTCTGAGATAAAACAGAATATAAGAAGAGTTTATTTTCAGTTTCAGGATTGTCACAGGTTTTTATTTTTTCCAGTGACTGGTTTATTTTTTACTTCCACGCTTTCAGTCAATTCCTTGTCTTCTTTGGAAATATTCAAATTCATTATTATAATTCTCTTGTTATTTAAATACATTTTAGTTTATACTTCACAAAAATTATACGCAGTAAGACATAGACTTTTGTAAAATGCTTTCATCGCTTTCCAAAGTGG